TGTCAACGCTTCGTGGCCAGTAATCGCATCATTGGGGAGGATACCAAGGGAAGGAGAAGGCGAATGCCTGGATGCTCCACCCAATTTGCTGGGAGGTAAAGAGACGGCAGACTCCACCTGGTATCTCAACCTTCTTTGAAGACCCTACCATGACGTTAGCCTATGAAAAGCGTCGTCCTGGAATACAAGTGACTACTTACAAATGAGACTCGTAGAAGTCAAGCATCTTGCCTGTTGTTAGCCATTATTCTCTCTCAGATCCCAAAGGCCACAGGAGCACATACTTTTCGAGGGCATCTTTCATAGCAAGTTTCAATAAGGACCTTGGACTTTCTGCCATTCTTCCAGTTCAAGATGGCAAGCAGGTTCCCCGAGCCCGGCTCGCGGAAGATTGTGTCGACGTTATCCACCTCCTTCTCCCAGCTCTTAGACTTGGGCACCCACGAGCCGGAGTCACTGTCTTCTTCTGCTGCTTGGGGTTCCGGTGACTCGTTTTCTCGAGACTTTCTCCGCTTGTTCGGTTGTGTCTTCTCGGGGGTTGCTGATTTAGGAGGTCTTCCCAAGGACTTGCGCTTCTTGGTTTGAGGCTTCTCCGGACGGCCACCCAGTTTGGAAAAGTACTCATCGACCGCCTCCTGCGCACCATCGCTGGACAAAATCATTTGGGTCAGTTCGGTTTGTGCAAAGGCAAAGGCAGAAGCGAAGAGCGCACAGATTTCCCTCTGGTTCAAGTGTCATGTCGGCGGGGTCATCATATCCTTTCCATTTCACCTGCAGGAGCAGCTCGCCCTGTCGCAAAGTTAGCGAGACTTCCAAAGTAGCAGTAATTAGGCGACAGGTCCAAGTGAGAGCGGCGCGCACCTTCTTACCCCATTCATGACTGACGATCTTCTCGACGTGGTAACTGCGCGGAGTCAGGACTTCCAAGGCCAACTTAAGCACTTCCTGACCGTTCTCACACGTCTTCTTCTTCGTCCTCGTCCTCGTCATCCTCGTTATCGTCAACGGCCTGCTTCTTTGCCTGCTTCTTGGGTGCGGGGGCCTCCTCGTAAGGAATAGACTCGCCAGTCGACTCGTCATCGGACACATCGGTCACCGGAGCTGATGGTAAATGATGGTTTGTCAGTCAATCTTTGCGCGCGACAGGTTTAGACGCGCGGTCACGGGCAATTGATACTCACGAGGCATTGTTGTTGTTTGGAACGGTGATGCGGCGAGATTGAAGAGTCGCGAAAACAGCTTGGCGGCCGAAATGCGATGTCAAATTTGACTCGAATGGCTTTCTTAGATCGATGAGCGCGTGCAGGTCACCGACCGCAAGCCGATAGAAGATTGGGGGATGAAGAACTGGGAGAAGAGTACGGAGGAGCAGCAAGAAGAGTGACGATGGACAGTGAAATGGCTACCAGCTAGTCGCGCAGGCGCGCGGTGGAAGATCTACGCTAGACCCCTTTGGGCAAGCAGCTCACTAGCCCGTTTTTGGCTCCCTCCATCTCCAGATGAATTTCTACAATCGCCCGTCATTTGAAGTTGTGCCGGTTAAAGCATCCCCTCTCTCTACCCCCTCCCCCTTCTTTATCATTACTCCCCCCCTCACGCACTCCTAATCTCTTTTTTGGGGGCCCTTTTCTTTCTCCGTTCACTTTTCAATTTGTGATTTGTGGGCTTTTGTTTAACCTTTCCCCTCCCCCTCCCCCTCCAGATTCCCGCCAAGTGGGCAGACCGTCAAAATGGCTATGCGTATGTCTTGATACCCCTCATTTTTGGACCACGGTGCTAACTTCTTTTTCTTGTGGCTACAGAGCTTGATTTGTCTCAAGGTTGACCCCTCCGCTACCTATCCTCGTCATTATGATACAAGTTCCGAGGTCGCTGACTACCACACTCAGCTTCTGTGATGAAGGATGAACAAGGCCGGCCGTTCATCGTTGTTCGGGAGTACGTTACGATCCCCCGCTCAGATGGTGTGCCACAATTTCGTCGGTATAGGATATGTCGCTGATCGCAATTCATCCGGACAGTCAAGGCAAGAAGAAGAGACAGCATGGTACCGAAGCCGTCAAGTCACACATTGTCGCCGCGAAGACGGTTGCCAACATCGTCAAGACATCTCTGGTATGATCTGTCGCCTGTCGAATGTGAGATGCGTCTCGATTCCGATTCTAAAGACTACTCCAGGGTCCCCGCGGTCTTGACAAGATCCTTATTTCCCCCGATGGCGATATCACCGTGACGAACGACGGCGCTACTATTCTCGGCCAGGTTCGTGCCGACAACTACGCCCCGCAGTCCTCCCTGGCATAAGTTCTGACTAGAAGATTTTGGACAGATGGAAATCACAAACAACGTTGCCAAGCTTTTAGTTGAGTTGTCGAAATCTCAAGACGAGGAAATCGGTGACGGAACTACTGGTGTTGTGGTTTTGGCGGCAGCTATGCTGGAGCAAGCGTCGGAACTCATCGACAAGGGCATCCACCCTATCCGGATCGCAGACGGATACGACCAAGCCTGTGAGATCGCGATTGCACAACTTGATAAGATCAGCGATGAGATTCCGTTCTCCAAGGAGGACACCTCCAACCTTCTGAAGGTTGCCAAGACGAGTTTGGGTTCCAAGATGTACGGTGACCGTATCCCGAGTTCCCTGCAGTCAATCCCATCTGACTCTTCTACAGCGTTTCCAAGTCCCACGACCAATTCGCCAAGATCGCCATCGATGCTGTCCTCTCCGTGGCCGACCTCGAGCGCAAGGATGTCGATTTCGAGCTGATCAAGGTTGACGGAAAGGTCGGAGGTGCTCTTGAGGACTCTCTTCTCGTTAAGGGTGTTATTGTCGACAAGGACTTCTCTCACCCTCAGATGCCGGATGAGGTCCGGGATGCTAAGCTGGCTATCTTGACCTGTCCGTTTGAGCCCCCGAAGCCCAAGACCAAGCACAAGCTCGACATCACATCCGTGGAGGAGTTCAAGAAGTTGCAGGACTACGAGAGGGAGAAGTTCACAGAGATGATCCAGAACCTGAAGGATTCCGGGGCCAACCTGGTCATCTGCCAGTGGGGTTTCGACGACGAAGCCAACCACCTTCTGCTCCAGAACAAGCTTCCTGCTGTCCGCTGGGTCGGTGGACCCGAGATTGAGTTGATCGCTATCGCCACGAACGGTCGCATTGTTCCTCGCTTCGAGGATCTGAGCCCTGAGAAGCTTGGAACTGCCGGTCGCGTTCGCGAAATGACCTTTGGTACTACCCGGGAGAAGATGCTAGTGATCGAGGAGTGCGCCAACAGCCGCGCCGTCACGGTCTTCGTACGAGGAAGCAACAAGATGGTCAGTCTGGACAGCTGAATCGAATTGACGTGACCGAATGCTGACCATGGCCACCAGATCATTGACGAGGCCAAGCGTTCCCTGCACGATGCCCTTTGCGTTGTGCGCAACCTTGTGCGCGATAACCGTGTCGTCTACGGTGGTGGTGCTGCCGAAATTGCCTGCTCCATTGCTGTTGAGGATGCTGCTGTGAAGGTACGTGGAATTTGCCTCTGCTAACTTCTGGACCTACCTTTGAGTCATTCGTCTAACATTCTCGCAGAGCCCTGGTATTGAGCAGTACGCCATGCGCGCGTTCGCCGATGCTTTGGACGCTATCCCCTTGGCGCTGGCTGAGAACTCGGGCCTGAGCCCCATTGAGACCCTGGCTTCGATCAAGTCGCGCCAGGTCAAGGAGAACAACTCCCGCTTGGGTGTCGACTGCATGCTGACTGGCAACAACGGTACGTCCTTGTAGCTCCCACATAACATATCTCGCTGCTGCGCAACTCCAAGTAACCCTTCTTATTTAGACATGAGAGAGCACTTCGCCATCGACCCCTTGATCGGCAAGCGCTCGCAGCTCCTGCTCGCCACCCAGCTTTGCCGCATGGTTCTTAAGGTAAGTTTGCTTATCCAACTGAGTCGAAGACAGGATAAGAAGGCTAATAAGCACCTCACTCCGCAGATCAACAACGTCATCATCTCCGGTGACGATGACCAGGAATTCTAGATTTCTTGTATACAGGAATGTAATTTTTTCTTCTTCTTATTCTGCTGGCTAAAAGAGAGTCCACCACCTTTGGCGTTTACAGTCACAACGGGGCTTGAGATGATAATCCTATTTACTTTCTTCAATATATGTTCCTCTCGGCAAGAGTAATGAACAAACCGATGTGGTGCGCGTGGTGTGGTGTCACTATGGTTGTTGGTACATAGAGAAAACTAAGGGAATCAACAAAGTACAATAAATTTCCATGACACACATCGTTCACTTCTATTCTGATGATGTTTGAGATTGGTTCAGGTTGATGCGGAAAAAAAAAAAAAAAAACTTTTTGTTCAAAGAAAGCTCCAGTAGAACATTCCCACGTACCGAATATAGCCAGCTACGTTGTACTTTACCTATTATCTCCAATGGACTAGGATATATAATTTCAGCTCTTCAGGATATCTGCTGTACCCAATCCTCAGAGCCCCGCCTATCCAAAAGCCCTCAGGCGCACCAATCTCTCCCAAACCTTGCATATCCACAGCCACAGCTTGCCGTAAAGTAACCCCCCCCAACCCAAAAGATATGTATACAAGCGGGCGTGCAACATCCGCCCGAACCTCCCACAGCCAAACCGCACCCCACCATCCACCCTTATCAAATCTCGACTTTTTTGCGTAAATCCCACACCCAAGATCCGATCCAACGAAGCATAATCCCATCTCAATCCCCTTAGTCAAAAGATAAGCCAGTCGATATACAAGCGGGGTGCCAGTTCCGCCGCCGCGTCCGTCGGCTACGACCGCTCGAGCGAAGCGGATAATGCACTTTGAGTGCGCGGGCCGCCTGCCCGCCTGCCCGCCTGGCCCCCCCTCGACTGATAACTGTTTCGGGGGGATGCAGAGAGGCGGGCGATGATTCGTGAGCTCATGGACAATCGGCGACTGGACCCGTCTCGTATCTTTTTTTCTTCAATCGGGATAGCCTATGATGTACCTAGGTAGTGATGGTAAAGAAGGAGGGGAGAGGAAGTTTAAATAGATGGCTTCCGCCTGTAAAACTATAGGGTCTCTCTGGCATCGAAGTATCATCCTACTCTTCAGCTTCACCTTCTTATATTTCTCAGACGCTTGCTGTTAGGCTTTGGTGATTTAGGATCATACAACAGAGAAGATGGGCTCAACTGCGTCTGGTTGGAGACCGCTGAGTGTGGGGATCGTGGGCGGCGGGATCGGGGGCCTGGCGGCTTCGATTGCGCTGCGGCGGGCGGGCCATGCAGTGGTCATCTACGAGCGCCATGATTTTGCGGGGGAGGTGGGCGCGTCGATCTCGTGTGCGGCGAATGGAACCCGGTGGTTGCATGAATGGGGGGTCGATATCGCCAAGGGCGACCCCGTGGTGCTGCAGAAGTTGATCAACCGGGATTGGAAGACAGGGGAGCCGGTCAGTGTCTATGATCTGGACGACTACGAGCAGCGCTGGGGGTACGTCTACAATATGTTCCATCGGCAGTATATGCATGCCATGTTGAAGGACTGCGCGCTGCAGGAGGAAGGGGCGGGCACGCCGGTCACACTGAAGGTGAACCATAAGGTGAGTTTGGCGGGGTATACTTATCTTTGAACTGTGACGGTTGCTGATGATCGTGCGTTTAGTGCCAGGATATTGACCTCGAGACGGGTGTGATTACCTTCGACGGTGGTGAAACCGTGCGGCACGATCTCATCGTGGGTGCTGATGGAATCGGCTCGGCCGTGCGAGGCATCATTGGCCTTCATCCCGAGAAGACTCCGGCGCCGTCGAGCTGCTTGCATGCCAATGTCCACACGGAAGATGCGGTCCGCTTGGGGTTGGTCGACTATTCCCAAGACAGTGCGTTGGAATACTGGGGCGGCCAGGAAGGCAAGTGGGATAAGATCGTCCTCTCCCCTTGCAACGGCGGCAAGTTGCTGTCTTACTACTGCTTCTTTCCTCGCGAGAAGGGAGACTTCACGACGCACACATGGGGCGGAGAGGATCGTCCGGTCGAAGAGCTGCTCGCTCCTTACCCGGAATTAGATGAACAAGTCCGCTCTCATCTGGCCATCGGCATCGAGATTAGGCCCTGGCGCCTGTGGGTGCAGTAAGTCTCGCCCCTGGGTTGTTTTCTGCAGTATCTGTGAGTTAGTGCTGGACATCTCACTAACAGTTGAACTCTGTGAACAGTCAACCTTACCCGTATATCGCCAGCAATATGGTCTGCCTGCTGGGAGACGCAGGACATCCAGTAAGTTGCTTCCCTACACGAACATTTGCGAGCGAGGTACTGATTGACTTTGTGCAGATGATGCCTCATCAGAGCCAGGGCGCTTGCATGGCCATCGAAGACGCCGCAGCCCTCGGAATCATATTCAGCAAGCCCTATTTCTCCGGTGATGTCGCAGCGGCGCTGTCAGTCTACCAGAAGGTGCGACTGCCTCGAGCCACCAAAGTCCAAGCCGCTTCAGCCAAGGCAGCATACAACATCAACGAGCGCATCGGTAGGCAACTGTTGGGATTTAACCACACTGCGAGTATGTGACTGACGGAGACTCTCCAGGCTTCTCCAGCAATACCAACATGCCAAAGTACAAGGTCGAGGATGAGCAGAAGAAGCTCACGATTGAAGAAATGAACGCGTAAGTGAAGCATCAGTTCCGAGCATCAGCTGCAGGTTTCTGACCTCTCAACCAGATACGACATGTACATGGACATCGAGGAAGTCCTGTCCCAAGAGCTTGGGTCCTCGTTCGACAAGGAGTACATCCGGGGGCTGCCTGTCGGATTGAAGCTGTCGAACGGAGTGGTCATCGGAGAATAAGCGAGTTCTGACAGATCCAGATTTGGAACTTCTCTTCTTGTGCTTCTTTTCCTCCATTGTTTTGATACCTCATGCGGAGTCGTGTATGTAGTAATGCTTGATGTTTGTGCGGTGGACATCTCATGTCACTGCGGTGTATAATCCATTCAATGAAATGTGTGACCAACATAGTCAACCGGGTCCCATGACTGAAAGCTCGGGGCGAGGCCTAAGATGGATCAGCCGGCTTAAGCGCCGAGTCAAGATGACTCTTTACGAGTGTTAGGCACAGACGTCCACCTCGATTGGGTATTACACAATCGATCAATGGCTCGATCTGGATGTGATCGGCCTAAGGTGCGATAAAGTACGGGAGAGTGAGGATCGGAGCTGAAGGGATACGACGTCGATCGCGGTCAATATGGGCTGCCTTAAGTGAAGGATAGGCTATATAGCGTCGGGTATACCTGATGATCAGGGGTGGGAAGGGAGGAGGAGGATGAGGAGGAGGGGGCCGAAGGGCCGGGGACCGGAGAGGGGGAGAGAAGAACTGGAAATGATTTCCATAGTGGGAATGTTGTAGAGACTGCCAGGTGCGGTGAACCACTGCCCCCTCTGCTGCCAGCTGACGCTCGTCTGATCTGCCACTGGAGATTATCCGTCGGCTGTCTCGCTTCGAATATGAACAGATGGACAAGGGTCTGTGGTTCCGTAGTGAGTGGAGGAATGTGTGCCTTAATGGATCTGAATGGATCTGAATTATGAGTCAGATTGTCGGACATCAAACATGCCAATACGACGGAGAGGAAAGGAAGTATACCAAGTACAAGCAAGTATGGGCAGATCCCGTAGAGAATGCGGAGTAGCTGAGGACAAAAGGCGGTAGAGGGAGGAAAACATACACATCCAATCAACCCCTGCAATTGCTCAGCTGACCACCAGCTCACAACAACAACAACTACTACTACTACAACTACACCAGAACAGCAACAGCAACAGCAACCTGCATCGCCGAACACAAGCAAGCCACTTCAACTTCTCGAATTCTAGACTCGCCTTCGATCGCCTTTCCTTCCCTGTCGAATGACGCAGCAGATGCTTTTCTCATTCCTTTTTTTTTTGATTCATGTTCCACTCCTGCCTCCCCCCCCTCCCCCTAAACTAATGCAGACTCACCTGCAACAGCATGTCAGCCCTCTCCCTGTCACAGGGGATGCTGGTCTATGAATTGCAGATTGGCTTTTGACACGAGATGACTGACTCCCGGGGGAAGGGGAGGGGGTGGGGGGTTGGGGGGCCAGCTCGGGGCCCAAATCTATGCAAATCGGTAGCCAGTCAGTCGCATTTAGAAAGGAAGCATTGATTTTGAACCGGCTCGTTGGACGCAAGTCAACATTGCAGAGCGAGACTGAGGCGCTACCGTGCTTACGCTTCTGTTGATCAGCAGACAAGCTGGGATCAACCCCCTTTTTTCTTCAGAGCAATTGCTCCAAATGGTAGCACGAGCGCCTTCTATGTACTGTCTGTCTTGTTCAGACAGTAGTGCCGTACATTTCGACGAGGAGGCAATATCTGCAGTCAGATATAGATTTGTAGGCTTCGGGAAGGATCCCTGATTCGGGCAGTATGGGAGGCACGATGACGACCTCTGAGGGGGTTGGAGACGGGGACCATATTTGCTGTTGTGAACCGTTCATAGGCATACACATACAGGTGCAAATGAGAGATGATGTCGCAAATGCACGACACTCTGGACTTGAGCGAGGCCGTTCTAGAATCAGGCCCGGATCCGCATTTGACGGCTACCAAGTGATTGATAATGCATTGTGACTCCATGGTTCTCCGACATTGCGCCATGAACATCCCTGTGGCCAGACTACGTGGAGATAGACCTGCCAATTCCCCGAGGACTATCCATGTATATCATGATAGACAATTTCCCCTAACCAGCTTGCATCAGAGGTAGCTAGCCCCTGAAACCGAGACAAACCTCAGCGTTCCTTGTCAAGTCAATGACATCTCTCTCCCGCCATAATGAAGGCAGTAATCACCAACCCCAAAGGAAGCAATGTCCACCGCGAGTCATAGAAAGACCACGGAGGTTCATTCCATGATGAGACCCACAGCAAAGCAACTCGTCATATGTAGCAGTGTCACACCATCACGCACTCAACTGGCAGACGAAAAAAAGAAAAAAAAACAGTCAAGTCATTCCCCAACACAGTTTTCCCTGCATGAACCAAAGAGCAACTCGATGCTATGCTATATCCATCGACTAAGCCCCAACGTCATAAGCCTAAGTAGCAACGAAGCTCGACGCCAGATCAGATCCACCACCATCAGCATGAACAAACCGGTAGCGCTGGCTGCAGTGCATCACCTTTCCGCAGAACCTGCGAAAATATATTAGCATCGTGCATCCAGCCACAACGTCTAGAACCTCCACCTCCACGACTTTCCATTTCCGAACACGGCATCGGGCGAGATAGCTCCGCTCACCTCCATTCGTTTTGGGCGTGCGCAGCGAGCGAACCTCTCCTCTCCCCACTCCACAGAAATCAAGGTAGTTTTAGTCAGTGCAACGATGCACCGCTTGGAGCGAGAAACAAAGAGTAATGCAGGATACTGCATCTCTGCGTTGCAGCTTGCCTTTTCCGGGATTTCCTATCCTGCAACTGTGCATTACCGTTGGAGAAGCAACTAGCAGCAACTAGCAGCCGGGGGCTGAGGTTTCGGACGAGGCTTTTCTCTAAGGCATTTGGTTTTGGGTGTTGCGTGGGAAAATAAAAGTTAACTAAGTTATTGCTTCTCCTTTGCACGGACAAGGGATGTGGGACTGTGTACAATGCTGTGGGTCCAAAGGTGTTGTTGGGGTTTTGACAAAGCACAAGCAACAGTTCAAGAAACACTGACAGGAACTTGTCACCGCCGGTTATCATGTGATCTTCGTTGCTGCGCGGCTGCTGCCAGTAAGTTACTGACTGTCACAGACAAGGGCCTCCATAACTCAGCAGCAGCAGCAGCAGCAGCAGCAGCAGGCAGGGCGAAATCGAGGCTTTAGCAATTCCTGTGCCCTACCTTTGTTCTGCTGCATCTACAGATTTATCTCATGACGATGAAATCGTAGAAATGTGAGTGGATAGCCTCATTCTTGAAAGGATTCCAAATGATCGGACTTTTTCTGGGAGGGTACGGAAGATGGATGGTGCTGCGAACATGCACAACACAGAATAAGTCGGTGTCGGTGCTGGTGCTGGTGCTGTAGTAGCACATCACTTGAATCTCTCCAGGATGAGGCTACCTACGATTCTCCATTCATCCGACGATAGAAATCTATCGAGTGTGACATTTTTAGATCCAGACCGGAAGAAGGGAGTAATCAGGGGATCAGTCAGTGATGTTGGCTGTGCGCGTCTCGGTTCATCACATGGCTAGGGTATGTAGACCGAAGAAGAGGCTTTTCCTTTGCATTGACGTGGCTGGCCTCTGTTCGCGGCTACCGAATTCGTGATTCCGTCCCGTGGGACTTGAGCCCACTGAAAAAACACCAAACACAAAACAATCTTTACTCTCCTTTTTCTCATGACAGTAGGAAACTAAAGAACCCGCTAGGCAATTGACTGTGTGAAGTTTCTCTAAGTCAGGGTCACCAAAAAAAATTAGCTGCCTTACCTTAGGACAAGAATAGCAGGAAAGGCGGCGAGAAATTGGGCAACCATTTCCCCGAGGGAGTCGAGGTACATACAGTGAGGAAGTACGCCGGAGGAAGTACAGTACAGTAGATTGCTATACCGCTACTTCGGGATGTCGTTGGCTTCGACCATCACACGACTGCAAGAAGGTGACCCTAGCATCTGATGGTGACTTTCTATCCTAACTTCACTGTTGTTCTTCATCCCCGTTTGCTCTAACTTTCCTCTTGCGTATGTGTGTATGGGTATCTGTGCTATATACTGTAAGTATTCTGGATCGACTGTACTGCGTAAATATCAAACAGTTCATACAAATTACATACTTTCGTATAATTGTGTACCATCATGAGCAAGATAAAGAACCAGGGGCAAAAGGTACATACATGTGAGCCAGGTACGAGAATTCGATACCGGGGGAATAGCGATCCAGTCAATGACTGGCTTTGAGGACGGTACCTTTGCAACCCATGTGAAAAAAAAAACAAAAAGAACAAATCACAAAATAACAAAATAACAAACTATTCATCTTGAAGCCCTGAAGAGAACCGACTACCCCGTCCAGTATCTACATGAATAGGGATAGCAAAGCTCATCCCTTACAATAGGGAAGTTATGTCAATCGAAGCCAGAAGAATCCAGCCACTGCACAACACACCTTCTCTCCCCCCGAGGGGCCTCGATCTATAACCTCCGAGAACCAGCAAAGCAACCACCGCCCAACCCAGCCCAGCCCAGCCCAGCCCAATTGCCAACACAACCCACCCATCTCCCCAAGTTCCCCAGTTCCCCAGAATATCTCCATACGAATGGATAAAAATAGATTCACATCAGCTTCTTCAAGCTACTCCGTACAGAATACCGTAACCTGCATCTTCAGCCTTGTTCGAGTCCCAAAGCGGCAACCCGGAACAAGACCCATAGATCATAACTAACCATCCCTCGTCATCATCAACTACGAAGTAATTATCAGTTTGATCATCAAACCTTCGCATCATCTGGCACATGACCGGTTCCCTCTCACCAAAAGTATGAATCGGAACCAGCCAATAATATCCACCCCTCCGGACTACTACCCCTTAACGCTGAAACAAGTCGACGCGGATTCATGAACAAGCGATAGGAGAATCCTCAAACATCACATGAGCATTTCCGACCCCTGTGCCTTCTCCTCCTCCTCCTCCCCCCCCCCCCCCCCCCTGGTCCGTCAGCTTTTTAAGGTACAGTACACGGTGGAGATGTCGGAAAACTAGCCCCCCCCTCCTTCTAGCATATGTCAAGCGATATTCAGGAATAGTCCAAATGCATTTTCATGCTTTATTTGAGTCATCTCTTTGGCTTGTCCGTGTTACGAGACCGGGTACCTCGTAAGCAGAGAGCTCGTTTCATTGTGCTTGCCTCTAGCTTACAGATAGCTCTGCTTCCTTGGAAATCCGAAACGAGGATATGAGGGAATAGGGACTACATCGAAACTCAAATCCAACCTCCTTAGATCAATGTCCGGGGACACTGACTTCAATTGACCCTCGCAAAGGGGGGGGATTTCTTACGCTGATGAATCGGTGGCTTGAACCGTAGATACACACAACGAAAGCAGCCCTATCCGGGGCAAGAGACCGAGAACCAAGGCTGAGTGGGCAGGGGCGGAGGGGTTGAAAAGGGAGTCAGGCAAAGTTATACGATGTCTGACACCGGGAGGCGGGGGTGTTCTTCCGGATGGAGGTAGTATCATCTCGTATCGTCGGATGTTTGGTGGGGGTGGTGGTGGTGATGATGATGATGGCTTATGGCGTTGATTGTTGGAGTGTGTTCATCCTAGAGTATGACTCGATTACCCCGTCGTAGTACTGTACATTCCTGTTCAGGTTCAATCGGCCCCGGCTTTAGAGGCGTAGCTGGGTATTCGTTTGATGTGATTAGAGGTGACGTGCATTCCTTGATGCTTGGTTCAGAGTCGGCGTGGGCTTCATCCAACCTGTGTGTTTTTTCTACCCCATATATCATTAAGCTGAGAAGATGGATGCGAGGTGATAGGCTTGAATGGCATCAGGTATCAACGGGTTGCGAAAGTCATTGCAAGACTTCTCCTTCTATCCGAGCAACTGGAATTGAATAATTTCCATAAAATTGAGTATACAATCTAGAGATAAACCCGGAGAACCCTGAGCTACGGAGCTCTGACTTTCCCGTAGCACGAGCGAAATTAGATGCCTTACATGTTCCACCCACATCTGTGAAGTGACATGCATTGCTGCTGGCCGTCTGTCTTGCACATGAACACTCCACTACCGAAGGGACAACCCTCTCCCCCCTCCCCCCTCCCGCCTCCCCCCTCTTCCCCTTCTTTCGTCAATGGAAGTGTAGGTGTAAATGAGTTCGGGGGAAGCAGGTACAGCACATGGTCTCTTTATGCTTTGCGCCTTGGTGCCTCTCTTTCTCTCTCTCCTTTTGGGAATGGTCAACAGGAGAGGAAGGGGACGGAGATTTAATGCACTAATTACGATGACTGGAAGTTCGTCTTGAAACTCTTCCCCCTCGAGTCATGACGGATGATCACCAGTTTGGGGTGTGGGGGGAAATGGGGGGAAGGGGGAAGGGGGAAGGGGGAAGGGGGAAGAGGGAAGGGTACTGTACCTACTCAGGGGTCCAGCCCCGACTGAAAATTTGGGGAGGAGGAGGGGAGGGGGGGGCTGTCCTTTTTCGGCATGCCTCCCCCCGTTCCCAGAAACCGGGACATGCAGCATGCAAGCAAAGATTAGCTTTATTGAAATAGCTTCTTTAGGGTCCCATCATGCCTGCCTGTGGTAGTTCAGTAATTAGTAAGACAGTAGTGCCATTTTGCTAGGGAACAACTCGGCCCTTTGCTTCTCACAATCCAGGAAGACCCAAAGAGATCGACACAGCCAGAAAAGATCGTGGGTGCGGATACTACACTCACCGTGCCGTGCCTCAAGCACACCAGCAACATGCGGCCATCTCTATTGGGAGAATAATGATACGTAAAGCCACAACTACTATCCTGCGAGTCGTATCCTCTGGGAGTCTTCTCCTAGCCTCTTGCGCGATTTTCCTTCCTTCAATGGAGGGGAGAGAGAGAGGGGGGGAGGCAGTCCGACATCCGAATGGATTGGTAGGGTGACATCGCCATCTCTGTCATTCCCCAAAGGACAGGGCGAAGGACGACTTCGGTCTGTATGTACAGATGTACATACTGTACGTAGAAGGCCAACTCCGAACCAGCTTACTTCTGAGCAAGGCGCACCCACAAAACAAGCCATCGTGCCGGAGGTGCCCCCCGTAGCGCTTCATACTCAATCCGGGGTAAGCCCCTCCCTTCCCCCGCCCCTCCATCGAACGTGCCTGAAATGGACAGTACAAGCCGCCATGCAGACTCGAGCACAAAGATTTAGATAGAAGATTCCTTGCAGGGCTGCAAGCTCTGCTCTGTACTGTACTCTGGCCATGAAATCGTCCGCTTTTATGAGATCTGAGTTGCGAATCGTTGCTGACATCCTGTCCTGGAATGGAGAAAGAGCCGTTAGAAAGGCGACAAGGGTGTCGCGCCGGTTTCAACTTTCTTCAACCTTTTTCCTTTGAAGATCATAGAGTTCTAGACTGTGTTTGATCGACTCGTAACGGGCGGCAAGAAGCAAAGTGTACCGTAGGTTGGGGCTGGATTGCCAGATGATCCTTGTCGAAGAAGGGACCAAATTTTCCACTCATCTGTCAATCCCATCGAACATTCATCGATCGTCGAACAAGGCCCGAATCCTTGAGCAATAACACGAACCTACTGCTCTTCTTCATTCACCCTTGCATTTTTTCATATGAGATCGCCCCAATCCTTTTCCCTCCCCCCTGCCCCTATGGGTGTGTGGGTGGCCTGGGTAGTCAGGCTCGGTGCATAATTTAGAAATCGCTAGTCCGGTTCCTCGAACGAAAGGTCGCATTCAGAATTTATCCACACTTGAGAGAAAGAGGTGAGGGGAGTGCATTCACTACCTGTTCCTGGTAGTCATCCTGGTAACATGAAGATGATCATCCCAGGGTTCTGGCTGGTCGGGGAAGGCGGGCCGGGAAAGATGGAATGTGACCGCTCAGAAGACCCGGTAGGACGGACCAGGGTCAATCGTCCGACTGAACAAAAGAGCATGGATAAATAGAAAGAGGGCACGGACTGAGGAACAAGAACGCAAGAACACTGGCGGGGGAGAGAGAGACAGAAAACAGAGTACGGGATAGTTTGAGAGAGCAGTCTGGTCGATAGCGCTCGGGTTTCAAGATTCAATGTCGGTCTGTTGTTAGTCGAAAGCCTCGATCCGGCTATTTCTTTGTATGTTTCAGCTCGCTTGGTGCCCCTTCCAGGCCATGACCCTTGTGAAAAACCGCTATCCGTGCGCAATGCAAAGCTTACTAGCTATGTATGTATGTACTGTAGGATCCGGAGTACATCCAGAAAAGACAAAACCCAAAGCTGGGGTTCAGGGATTGGGCCAATGGTCACAGAAGGGATTGACGAGGACACCTACGTGGACACACACATACCAGCGCCTGCTTTCATATATCAATGTCTTGGAGCCGATCAATCGAGGTCAAATGCCAGGCTCAAACCAAAAAACAAAAGGTACGAAAATACCTTCTAGATCGTAGAGCCGAATTCCTCCCCAAAGGGCGGAATCAACGGTTAAATGCCAGCCAGAACACATGTCTGAGCTCCTCCTTTTTACGCCAGCTCACATACTTTCGATCGGTTCCTGTAAGCGATCATCCCTAGGGCGAATCCCCGTTGATCGACGGCACCGTTAGCTTTGAAAGAACCCTGTTGCCTTGGAAGTATACAGTCCACCCTCCGGGGGAAGGGAAGGGTTCTCGGGACGTGGTCCCAGAATCGGCAAAAACGCATGGTACAGCATCACAGGTTATGGTTGCTGGATCCAAGGGCGTCGCGAACTTTGTCGAGGGTTTGGTAGCCGGGAAGGGGTACTCCGTGGGTGAGACTGTGCCCATCCTTTGTTTGCGGGCCGCATTGATGGATGCATGGTCCCTTTTTTGCCCCTGTGTCGCTTCTGTTGTTGTTTTTGTTTTTGTTGATGCTGGTAACTGGTGCTGCTTGACATGATGCAGCCGCTGTCCGTTAACACTAGCCCCAACTGCTCCTCCCATGACAGGTCCTCGTTTCAGAGCTACAAGTATCGTAGGATGGCGATAGCGGTGGATGACTGCCAATGGTAGAGCCGATGAGACATGCCTTTGATACATGCAATTCCAATACGCGGGGCTTTTGGCAATGACTGGTGAGATCAGTGAGTTGGTCTGTGGTCAGCGGGGAAGTCAGTGGGATTGACCTCGAGTCTCTTGCGCGATCTCCGGAATGATTTACCCCAGTCCATGCCCGGTGGCGCAAAGGCTGTACGTGCGGTACGTACTCCGTCGTAGTCACTCACTTAGCTACTCAGTAAGTTAACTAACTAGCCTTAGTTAGCTCTTAGGTAAGGTAAAATGTTGCGCGGTTCGACCCCACATCATGTGACACCCTCCCCCTTCTCCTCCCCAAATTTTGTCTTGTGACTTGTGCGGGACTGCTTTGCCACTGGCACAGGCTGAGAGTGTGACTGACTGACTGACTGACTGGGTGTTCCTTTTGCCCCCCCCGCCCCCCACGTTAAGGGGCTGGCAGGGCCCGCACTGCAGGAGAAATGAATTTCCACCGGGTGTTCCGTCTCGAGTCCAATAGCTCCCAAAACAGCTCCCCAGGCTACGCCACAGTCAACGGGTCGGTAGTTACAAGTGCGCTACGGAGTACCGTACTCAAGTAGAAAATCACAGAGCGTGATCTCCTCAGGTTCCTCGGCTATTTTCTGTTGGTAACCACGTCAGCTCTGGACTGAATGTGTCCATTTTTCCGGGGGGGTGATACCCTCCCTCCAAGCCTGCTATGCTGCCCTGCTGAGTGCCCTTTGCCCTTTGCCCAACCCCCCCCCACCTCCCCCCGGCTGTTCCACCTGGGCGGTTCGAGACACTATTTGCTCCCTATACCTTTGGCGACCTTTTCGTCCTGGTTGAACATTGATTCAAGGTCATCCTGAACATGACGCTGAATTGACGACAGATCGTCCCTATAGAAGAGATAACCCGTTCCTTCATGTTGCCTCGAATACGTAGGGAGATCATGGGATAGCGGGATCCTTAATTTTTTCTTGTTTGTTATTTCAGTTTCTGTTCATCATTATTGGCTTTTCCTTGATCATCATTCGCAAGATCCTTCGCCCGAGAAAAAAAAATCGAATTAACAGATGTGGCGGAGGGTTTAAAGAAGCATCGCTTCTGAACAGTGGACTGGCTGTCATAAGCTTAGCCGGGGCCGAAGTACCGTGGATGTACAGGACATACTGTACCCCGTGAAATCCGCCCATAGCCCTAGCCATGCTGCCATGCATCGGCGCTCTCTTTACTAGGAGGCTTGAAGGGAAGTCAGTCGAGAGCCGTACGGTAGCGGGCTGGGGGCGCAGCTACGTGGCTCGCTCTCCATCGCTATTGTGGAACGATAATCTGCAGGACAGGTCTGGCAGCTGAGCAATTTTGCCAAACGATCATCGACGCTGGCAGCTGTGTGCCCACTATTTTCCTTTTCTTCTACAGAGTATCATTTCCTTTCTTCTAGAGTATTACCCGGTAAAGTACGGGTTACGCGGTGGAGAGTTAGGCTAGGGCGACGAAGAAAGCAAAAAGAGGCATGCGAAAACGAAAGGGCAATCATAATAATAAGCTCACGATGTTTAGCTAATGACCAACCTAAATCCAGAGGTGGGTTAGCTTGTTCAGGCTACCCTTCTTCTTGAAGTACCCGGGGCACACTTCTTGGGAGGAAGGGAGCCTGGAGTGGGCCGGAGGTGTAGAAACATAGTAGTGCTATGGACGGAGTAGTAGGGGGACGGATGCAGGCGCCGGCGCGCACGCACACGCTGATAAACATTATTGTCTGCATTCGAGAGATACAGACATGAATATGCACGCAGAAGAACAGACGCAGTGGTTTAGGGTCCAATTATTAGGTCGAGAATCTTGCTTTGACACCCGCCGATCGTGCGACTTGATCCAATCGATTTCCATCGACATATATACTTCTCCATCGACTACCTTGGTTGAGGGTTGGAGAGCTCAATGAATGCATATACTGTATATAGTAGAACTGTAAACCCTCCTAACATGAGGCTTTTACTCCCGTACACGGAACCATTCACCGTGATTCTCCACCGGAGATATCATTCTTCTAGGTGCTGACCTCTCCAGGCACTGTGGTTGATCCAAAGCGGTCCCGGGACCAAATGACCAGAAGATTTCAAACGCCATGCAGATCGGCTCTTTGCTCAACGTCTTCGGGCGACTAAACTCGAGAGGGAAATCCGAAATTTTGCGAGGCTTCCCGGTAGATAGAATCCTTCAGGCAACATCTCCCCCCTCCATTCCTTCCATGGATGATTCGACTTGGTCGGGTCATACACAATTTACTTCATCTAAATACTCCGTAGACACGAGATATCGCATCATCACGGCGGCAGTCCCCCCACCCCCTCCTTCCTCGGATTTCGCTCGGCTGTTTTCACCCACCACGGGGAAATAACGGGGAGCGGAGGAAGAAGCCACCGTCAGAGATTAAAAAAAGGGTGCTTAGAAGAGAAATAAAGAGGAGGGATGGAGACGGCGAAAAAAAAAAAGCCAAAATAAGCTAAACGAGATGGGGTGGAGGAATCTCTCCGCGTTTACGAGTAGCTTGAACGTTTTGCGGTTGCGGTTGCGGTGGTGCCTTGGACTCGCCTAGAAAAGATGAAACCGAATCTTACAACCGCCGCCCATCGCCCATGTGAGAATCTCCAGGGTGTTTAGTCTTGTTCATTCGACCCTTCAGACCTAACCTAAAGACCTAGAACCTGCCAGGTGGGAGCATCACATGATTACACAACGTGGGCTGACAGGCGAGGAGAACCAAACAAGAGAGGCAGGCTGTCAGCTAACTCGCTCTCTGATTTCTCTCCCTTTCTCTCGTTGTCTCCCCCCTATCTTCATTAGTGCTCTTCCCCTCCATCACGACAGGGTGGATGGTGATGATTGACGGACTGATTGACTGATTGATTGATGATAGTGAATCGGGCGGATCTTCTGCATCCCAGTTCCCCGAACCACTTACCTAGAGATCCGCGACGAAGGATCGTAGCTGTGGCGTCTTCAGTCTCTCTGATTATACTTAGTTCGGAAGTCAAGTATGAAAACAACGGATGTTTTATCCCCGAGATGTTTTTTGATTTTTTTTGCAGGGTCCCGTGACGTGAAAAAAAAAAAAAATAAAAAGGGGGGGCGCGTTAATAAGAAGCCTAAACCAGATAGCCGGGTAATCTAACACCAGATCAAATCTATAGAACGCCTGATAGTAGTAGTAGTAGTAGTGTTGATGTCGTTGGTGCTACACAATCATTCCTCCCCTCCCCCTGGGGATATCCATGTTGGGCTCTTATCATCGTCGTCACTAATGACGAGAGAATTGACAGCTGGCAATCCTCCTATCTTGTGACTATGACTTGGGTCGGGAGGGAAAGTGGAATGAAGCCACTGTGATACTCGACGTATCTGTCGCTAGTTGATACACAGACACAGACACAGACACAGACACATATCAGCTCACGAATCCGAGAGGGCTCTTTTTGTTCGAATGGATCAATGTCAAGTAGATACGTCGGGGTTGGTGATTGGCATTTTAGCGATGCCTCAGGCTCGTGGGGTAGTAACTTCAAGCCCACATGATCCAAGCGTATGTACCCGTACTCCGGGGTTCTCCAATGCCTGAAGACAAACTAGGAGCAGGGAAGGGAGAAAGAGAACATTCTAAAACCCGGCATTGACACATAATTGCTGCAGACCGCAAGAGGGGATAGAAACAAGATCATCACCTCCACCAGAAGAAGATAAGGTCAGTGCTATCTAGGTAGGTAAGACGATCACCCAGATCGGAACCGCGGCGCTCTTCCCCGGTATGCGACTCCGCCTGGGGGCATTTGAGATACTACATACCACCGGCGAATACTTGCAGAGTACGTATTGCGCGGCGTACCAGCAAGGTAGTTCGAGGCGGGGACGGGGGTTGTGCTCAGGCCATTTCAGCCAGAATGATTGTCCCAGGATACATTGATAGATCATATGGCATGGCAATGTTTTTGTTTTCGGTTGTTTTTGTTGTTGTTGTTTGAAACAAATAACATACGGAGAGACACTGAATGGGATAAAAAGATCAGGCAGTGATGCCTCGGGATCAGATCGAGGCCAACTACGAAACCAGCTACCGACGATATTGGCTCATCTTCGGGAATAAAAACGTGGCTAGACCCAAGTGTCAAGGGTAGAAGGTCCACGGGTCGTTGAAGGCATTATCTCGCTGCGACATGCACCCGAAACTAGGTCCGTGGCGAAAGTAGTCGACAAAACAGTGACAGTCAGCAGACACCAACAAAATGGCCACCGAAGAGGGCAGGTGAGAGATGAACTGTCAAATGCCCCTGATGAGGCGAGAAATGGATTTAGGCAGTAAGTGCCTAGAATTGACAGCGACAGGGGGGGGGTAGATGTGTGGGAAGGAGGGAAGGGGACATTGAAAGGGACTGAAGGGGACTAGAAACAATGATGGAAGTGGCTATATTCATTAGGTCTATCAATAGTGGCACTACTGGTACTGTAGGCGAGTTGACAAGTGCGGAGTGATATCAGCAGTATCTTGTCTAAGCCAATCGTTCGGGATCCATTTTTGGGGGAAGTCAAGTGACCCGACGGAATTGACGGGGTTGAACTCATCCAATGTAAGTTAATGATGTATATTCGGTACTCCATAGTCAGGTTAGGTCTGTTAGTGAACGGAGGTTTCTCTTGCGGCCTTAGTCAGCGGTCAAGCTGGTCACAGGACAAGGTGATCTTTGTTCTGAACGATTGTCTAGAACATCCCCTGCGCGGTGAGCGCTTTGCTGATTGTGATACGTAATGCAGTCAGTCACCTTGGATTGATTTGTATACTAGGGGAAAGTATTGGAATATCTTTTCTGGCAGGAATACCTGCCTCTAACGCTTGAATAGGTATGTGTGGAGGGTGGGAGAGTCTTCCTTCATACTTCATCCGATACCAAATTTAGCGAGAGAGTCAAGCCTCAAATCGGTTGCAGCCAAGTACAAACAAGTACTTGAGGGAAGCAGAGAGAAGCGCCGCCGCGTTCACCGGCCAAAGTTACCCTTCTGGTGGAGGAATTGAGTATCATTCCGAGGTCCTATACACAAGGGTACTAGGTAACAAGCTCGTACTTTGTTTTCGTAGCCCCACTCCGGAAACAGACCGGTAAATTTACACTAGTCATGACAATGTATGAAATACCAGACGCCCTGCGGGGGTACTCCGGAAGTACCACCATTACCATTCCAAGAATGGAAAAATGCAAGAAAATAAAAATGAAAAGGAAAAAAAAAGACAAAATCTATTTTCTCTTCCGAATTATCAGAAAAACAATTACACACATTCACACACGCCCACCCACCTGGCCTACCTACTCGGCACTCTCCCGCTCTCTCCATACATAGGTTCCGGACCACGGAAATGGAGGGAGGAAGAAGAAGAAGAAGAAGGAGGCGCGGCTAGGATCCCTTTCCTGTACATACAGTACGTACACTCGCTCTTCTTCTCTCTTACCGCCATCCCCATTGAAACAATTCCTTTCCCTCGGTACTTACTGTTCTTACTGAGTAGAGTACCTACTTACTGTACACCCTTCATCGGACTTTTCTTTCCCTGTGGCCACCGTCACACTTCCCCCATATTTCCATACTTTTTTCACATTTTCCCATCATTTTTATTTCCTTCGATTTTCCCCTTGTACCATTACCAGTTCATACCGAATTACTGTTCTCTCCCACGCCCTCCTCTTCCTCCTCTTCCTCCCCTCCCCCCCCGTCCCATAATCTCAAAGTCTCCACCGACCCGTCGTTTAACTATCTTCCCTTTCCTCATTTTTCTCGCCCGCTCCACCGCGTACTAAGTTTCTCCTCCCCCATATTCCTACGGTCGATTTTTTCCCTTCTCTCTTTTCTCTCTTCATTCCCTCCACGCCTCTCCTCGACAACCTCGCACCTTCCCCCCCTCCCCATACTCGACACATCCTCCCCTCCAGACCGGCGGCTCCTTTTGCGAACCTCCAATTTCGTCCCCAATTGCTTCGACTATTCGTCGTTGCCGGTCTCTACCTTTCTGCGTCGACTATACCCGGACGGGAAAGAGAATTACCACCCCGTGGCAGACTCTCCATCCGAAATCGACTCCGACCGTGCATCTCGCGCCTGATCACAACCCGCACCACAATCGCTGATATTTAGATCCGCTGCTTCTTTCGACAGGCAGCTGGGGTGCCATCACTTGCTCAATCGACATCTCTGCAATTTGATTGCGGACTTCCGAACCGAGAAACTCGATCCCATCGACATCGTGGAGGATCAGGGAGCTTCAATTCGCTGCACTTCGCGCCGTACGACCACGCTCGGGGGAGACGGCGACCCCGAAAGTCCCTGGACGGAACACTTAACATCTCTCGACTTGCACCAAATTCGAAACTGTGGCGTCGTTAAAATGCCTTCGCGTTTATCAACCCCCGTTCTGACAGTGGATACGGCCAAAATCCACAAGGTCGACACCGCCAATGCACAGAGCTTACATGGAATGTGGATGGGTAAGCATCGTCGGCTTTTGCAATCAGTCTACTGTGATGGCTGACTAGGATCTTCTCGCCAGTGTTCTCGAAATGCGCCGACTACATGGAAGAGGGACGTCGACTTGAGAATCTCAGCTGGAGACTCTGGACCCGCGAGACATTCTGCGTGGAACCGGAGACTAACAGCGATACCTCGGTTTTGCCACTCCCCCGCACGGACACTTCGGACATGCCAGAACTTTCCGCCAGTGTCGAATCTGCCGCGTCCGACCAGGCTGACAGGATTGAGCAGCACATCAAGCGGTCGAAGCTTGATCTCAAGCCTGCAGTTGTTCGTGAGGATTCAAGCCCTCTCTTGAGTCTGGCTCGCGGGAAAGAGAAGCATATCACATCCGAGGGCTTGGAACGCATGGTGCTGAACATCAAGGAGAAGAAGAGCTTGGAGCCTATTCCTCCCCAATCGATGACCACCCCCTTTCCTCCCGTTGTGGATATTACCCCACGCCCGTCCACTCCCACTCCTTCCTCCCCTACCGTCTCTACCGCGAAGCGGACGCCCTCACCGCCACCATATCCTCTTCACCAACAGCAGAACCAGTCCACGGAGTCGTGCTCCACCACAGCGCCCGAGGGCAACGAAAGCGACAACAGTGCCTGCGCTGCTGCTTCCGACACCAGTGTTTCTTCCTCCGGCATTATTCCTATGAGATGTGAATTGATCAAGTCCCCGAGCATCGTCCGTGGATTCTCTCCTTCGCTTATATCCTCATCCTACCGATCGCAGCCGAGATTGGCACCCGAGCCTGGACCAGCCAAGCAATCGGGACAGCTTAAGCCTATGCCTTTCAAGAAAAAGGGCGGCATGTTCACACTTGGAGGCTCCTCCGGAGACGACGAGAGCTCCTTTGAAGATCGTATCTCGATGCAAGGTCCTCACCGGAGCTCCCTATCGGACGAATTAAGCAAGCCGTCCTCGAGCAACCAAAGTCCGAAGAAGAAGGTGGCGTCCTTCAGAGATGAGAACGGAATTATCAAGCCCACTCGGGAACGGCTCGAGGAGCATGAGGACGCTATCGAGACCGACGATGAAGTCTCTGAGAGCGCCATCGAGGATGACTCTGATTCTGATTGGGAGGATTCGGTCACCGAAAGTGGCCGGTCTAGTGTTGAGGAGCGCGAGCTTTTCCAGCGAGTCGATTCTCGGCCAAACCTCGTCTCCCGTCGGTCGATGCTGACCATGATGATGCATCAACCCACCAAAATGGGCGCAGCATCCCGGTCCACCCCGGCTCTTCAGCGGTCCCGCCTCACTTCACCCAACGGCCCCTCGATCCCGGCTTCACCGCCCGACGACGACGAGGAGAGTCTTACGATGCGCGGCCCTGATGTTCCTCGTTCCAAGCCGATTGTTATGAAGCCTACGCCTCAAGCCATCGCTCATTCGCCTCGCACGACTCGTCGGAACATGCTGGCTACTGAATTGACGGAATCTCTCCGTCGCCACTTGCTTTGGGAGCGTCAGCAGAAGAGCGCCACCGCGAATGCGTTTTTGAAGCGACGCCACACCGCCCACGATATGGCCAATCTGCAAGAGTATCCTGGTCCCAAGGGCGCCCAGAAGGGTCAAACCTCGGGCCAGAATGCAGGTCCCGCAACTAAACCTACCAGCCAAGGGAAGGACAAGACCGGCTCTTGGAATCACTACACCGACTTTGGGCCTTGGGAATACCATGTTAAGGGATGGTAAACACTTCCCTTGGGTCTTACGATCGCTATACCTCGATCTTCGATTATCCTTGAATTTTGTGTCATAACACATCTTATCTGGTGGATATTGTTCATTGACAGTGATACCCGATCATCAAACGCCTTTTTTTTTGTTTTGTTTTCACTTCACCATGTAAAGACCATCGATTGATTATCATCCTTGTGACACGTACCATCACGACTGCATTGCATATTGGCGCACTTCGGAATCATCTGGCCTTGTGTTTCGACCTGAACATCTTCTCTTTCGGGTCATTGCTATTTTACTTTTGCTATCTTTACATTGCATTGTGTGGCTCTCTGCTTTCCTTATACATGGGGCCACTGGGGGGATCAAGCGTCTTTTACACAATTAATCTTGTTGTACAGATGAACTTCTCTTCTACGGCGATGCACAGTCGGCAGAGACACCTTTGAAAAAAAGGGTCTCCACTTTTCTTCAACTCTTATGATGCTTTGGGTGGAATTGATGCGCGAGCGGTCCATTGGATTCGTCTTCATCTTTGATCCAGGCGGCGGAACAAAAAAACTGAATTGCGTTTTTGCATACATTGAAATAGCCCGTTTGTTGATTTTTTTTTTAACGCCTCGCTGATACCAGATACCACGTTCCCCGAATTTTCTTTGCACACTGGCCGACTCTTGAGTCGGCCTGCACATGCCGTGTACGCTACTTGATACTATTTTTTTTCTCATCTACCCATCCGCTGTGTATGGAGGAAGCTCCAAAAAAAGAAGCAAAATTTGAAATAAAAATTCATAACAAAGCAGAGCAATATTTCCATAAGTAAGACATTTGCGTCGTATGTTTTGTGAGAGACCACACAAGAATGCCATTGTTTGGATGAGGAGGTGGTTAAGTTTACTAGGTAAGTAGAAATAGACAAGGCATTAGGTAAGTCAGTCGTATTCATCATATTCCCCCCCCCCCCCCCCTCCTTCCTGGGGGCACAGACCTGGTCAACAGGCCAGCTAACTACACTCACGTATACTATTCGGTGTTCTTCAACCCGCCCACTCTCATTCAGGCAGGTAAGGAGAGGCCGGAACCTAGACCAGCATGAGTTACTGCTGCGTTAGCATATTACTATGTAGCTAGTTAGCTGAGAGCAAAAAAAGAGGGGCCAGGCGGGCCAGGCGGGTGTGTTCTAGCCATCCAGCCACCGCAGCCTACATCTAGACACAAGATCAAAGCTCCTTTCTCCCCTGCCTTGTCTTATACCTTTGCTTACTGAATATTATACATCCTCGCAGTAGTGCTCCGCACGTACCTACTCAGGATTTGCTGGATTTGCCCTACGACCATAGCCATAGTTATATCCCTGTCACGATCTAGAATCCCGCACAGATCGCTTCTTCACATGCAATGCCGGGCGCGCGGGCGCGCCCTTCCCTGTCGCCTCGCCGATATTACGATCCCACCATCTTCTTTTTTTTTGTTGTCGTTCCGTGTTTCCAGGCGATATTCTCAAAAGAGTTTCTTTTTGCAGATAACAAGGAACGGGAAGAAGGGAAAGGAGGATGCGGGGATAAGTGGTTATGAATGGAATGGGCGGGTTATACTCGATGTTCTTGCTTGAGTCAGTTTTCTTGAAAGAAAGTTAATCTTCCTTTTTTTTCGATTTGGTTCCAGGTTGATGGTTGATGGTGTGCTGTGGTTGATGGTTCTATTGTTCTGTTCTATGAACCCCCGGAGGTGTTGCCATATTTAGGGATCTCTTTCTCTGTTGGGTGGATCGATCTTACCCTGGGGAAGTATTGTTCGAGTGTGAAATGTTGAAAGAAAGAAAAACTCGATGGTGTGTTGAGGAGACGGGATGAATATGTGTGAGTGACTGGAGGCGAAGTCGGGGAGGCAGTTGATGAACTGTCATTGACATAAGGGTATGACGGGATAGAAGAGAAGGTGAACCACAACCTCCACACACCCTGCAGATCGTTCGAGTAAAGCACGTACGGAAGAGCCGGTCGGAGAATCCACGGAGATGATCGTGTTTTGATTTCCTGGGCCCGGAGGCTTGGGATAAATATAGTAGTGCTTCATGATGACACGGACTGGAACAGTGGTTGACTAGGGGGGGGATGGTTGTCGGGGAACAAGTAAGTCATCATCATCGACTTCGATTTCACGAGTGGACATGCTCTTTTGTTCTCTCCAGTCCTATGTTCTTGTCGGAGTCCACGATGAATCTTTGATATGGAAGAAAGCTTATCGGATTGTGGTGTGTTACTATATCGGTCGCATTTCCAGAGTCTTGGTATATCAGCTGAGGGGGGGGTGGACCGTGGATGGATTGAACCCCCTTTTGATATTCGATCCCTTTTGCGTCACTATGTCCATGTCGAGATCAGGGGACATGCTGGGGTCGGTTTCTCGGGGAGGGCAAGATCTTTTCTTCCTCATTAGTCAGTTGGGTATTGTGGAATGTGGCAACAGACTTGACACTGACAAGCATGTGCTGGTGCGTGGAGAAGCATTTGGGGTAAGAGATGGGTTGGTCGCGGACGGAGGTTTGGTAGTCCGTGAGTGGTAAGTACTCGAGTGAATCGATACTATTACGACGACCTACTAATCATAGTTACGAAAGGATGCTTGCATTGAGACTTTCGATTCGATTCTTTCTATCGAATATGAGGATACCAACAAGCGATCAATGCAACCACAAGTTCTAGACTCGAGGCATAGGGCGGGAGACAAGTCATCTGCGTGCGTGTTGCATGGAGTAATTCCCGGGGAGCGCACCGAGATCACTCTGGGACCAGATCCATTGATCTACCTGGAGCCCACCATCTTTAACTCATCCTTCCACCTTACCCGGTAGTTGGGACTGCTCATAGTCATAGTCTCATACGTAAGTA